CTGGCGGGACAGCAGGCCGCACAGGCTCTGCTCTTCGTCGTGGGCCACGTGGCGGCAGTGGACATAGAAGGCGCACCAGGCCTTGTGCCGGTAGAAGGTGCGCCCCGCCCACTCCAGCATCACCTGGTGCGCCAGCGTGGTTTTCCCTGCCCCGGCCACGCCCCGCAGGACCACTGTCCGGGGCGGCTGGCCGTGAGGCCTGCGGGGGAGGAACAGACAGGGCAGGAGCCTCTGGTGCCGGAGGATGTCCTGGTAGAAGAAGTCCGCCTGGTTCCCGGGCCACGCCAGGCGGTCCACCAGGTCGGAGTAGTGGTCCAGCACCTGCTGCCGGTAGTGCTGTACCATGGCTAGGGGAAGGAGAGACGGGGGGCGGGGGGCGAGAGAGAAAGCGAGAGAGAGAGAGAGAGAGAGAGAGAGATCATCGTGAGAAGGAATCCAGCAACAAGGAGAGCAGCCTGGAGGTAGACAGCAAGCCCAGCCCTGCATTTATTCATTTTAAAACATGTCACTTTATTATTATTATTGATTTCAGAGAGGAAGTGGGAGAGAGAGAGAGAGAGAGAGAGAGAAACATCACTGATGAGAGAATCATTGATGAGCTGCCTCCTGCATACCCCACACTGGGGATCGAGCCTGCAACTTGGGCATGTGCCCTTGACTGGACTCGAACCTGGGACCCTTCAGTCCGCAGGCAGGAGCTCTATCCACTAAGCCAAACTAGCCAGGGCACTTTATTATTATTTATTTTAAAAAATATCTTCTATATGATTTCAGAGAGGAAGGGAGAGGAAGACAGAGATAGAAACATCAATGATGAGAGACTCATGGATCAGCTGCCTCCTGCACACCTCCTACTGGGGATCGAGCCTGCACCCCGGACATGTGTCCTTGACTGGAATTGAACCCTGGACCCTTCAGTCTGCAGGCCGACGCTCTATCCACTGAGCCAAACGGGCTAGGACTACTATTATTTTTAAAATATATTTTTATTGATTTCAGGGAGGAAGGGAGAAAGAGAGAGAGATAGAAACATCAATGATGAGAGAGAGAGAGAGAGAATCATGAATCAGCTTTCTCCTGCACGCCTCACACTGGGGATCAAGCCCACAGCTGAGGCAAACGGGCTAGGGCTCTCTCTTTCTCTTCTCTCTAAAATTAATAAAAACGCATATCTTCTCTTAAATCCATAAAAGAAGGGTTGAAAAAAAAAGGAGAGAAAAAGAGACACCAAATTCATCGACCACCCCCCTGGCCTTAGGAATGACCCGTAGCCCGTCTCCCTACAGCACTTGCCACGCCCTCCACACATACCAGGGTATTCCTCCTCCAAGGTCCTCAGTGCTCTTCTTGGGGGTGGGCCCGTGGGCTCCAGGTGAGGCAGGAGCTCTGCAATGGACAAGAGAAGAGGCTGCCCCATTGAGATGAGGAGCGATGTGGGCCCTCCCTGGAGAGCAGTGGCCACCCCTTCAAGGACCTCCCACCTTCGTTCAGGGAGAAGAGCACTAGCTGGACTCCATCGGGATGTCAGGGAGAGAGAAAAGGGTGCTGTTTCCTCATGGGCCAGGGAAGGTGTTCAAGAACACGTACATGTATCGCTTAGACCTGATGGTTGTGTGTCATCGTGTGCACCAAGAGGTCACCAGTTCAATTCCTGGTTGTGGGCTCGATCCCCAGTAGGGGCATGTGGGAGGCAGCCAATTGATGTTTTTCTCTCATTGATCTCTCTCTCCCTCTCTCTAAAAATCAATAAAAACATCTATATAATAAAAGTCTAAGTGACCATCGGCGGAACGACCAGAACAACTGGTCACTATGATGCACACTGACCACCAGGGGGCAGATGCTCAATGCAGGAGCTGCCCCCTGGTGGTCAGTGTGCTCCCACGCGGGGAGCGCTGCTCAGCCAGAACCCAGGCTCATGGCTGGAAAGTGCAGTGGCAGTGGCGGGAGCCTCTCCCACCTTCGCAGCAGTGCTAAGGAGCAGCGAGCAGAGTGGTAAGGAGCAGCAAGCAGGCAAGCAGAAGGAGCAAGGGGTACTGGACTGTGAGAGGAATGTCCTGCCCAGAGGAGGGGCCTAAGCTGGCAGGCAGACATCCCCCAAAGGGTCCCATACTGCAAGAGGGTGCAGGCTGGGCTGAGGGACCACCCTCCCCCCTCCAGTGCATAAATTTCATGCAACAGGCCTCTAGTCTCTCTATATAAAAGCCTAAGCGACTGTCTGACCATCTGACTGGTAGCTATGGCATGCACTGGCCACCAGGGGGCAGACACTCAACACAGGAGCTGCTGAGCTGTGGTGACTTGGCAGCTGTGGTTCTCAGGTGATGCACTGGGAACCAGAGAGGAGGGAGCCCAATTCCGGGGTGCATCACTCGAGAATTGCCCTCTCCCAATCCGGGACCCCTCAGGGGATGTCCGAGAGCCGGTTTCTGCCTGATCCCCACAGGCCAGGCGGAGGGACCCCACCAGTGCACAAATCTGTGAACCGGGCCTCTAGTATTAAATAAATAAATAAATGCATGGCCCAGCCAACACTAAGGGAGAAATACACACAGATATGGACCCTCACACATGCATGCATATATAAAATATATATACACTTCAGGTGTAGGGGCCTATCTTCTATGGACATGTTCCTATCTGTGTATATTTATATGTGTATGAAATTATATAGGTAGTCATTGATTCTTTTTTTTTTAACACTGGTAGGTTTTGGTTCTTGGTAAATATTCCAATGAGGTACATTTATTTATTTTTTGTACATTTAAAAAATATATTTTTATTGATTTCAAAGAGGAAGGGAGAGGGAAAAAGAGATAGAAACATCAGTGATGAGAGAGAATCATGGATCGGCTGCCTCCTGCACGCCCCCTACTGGGGATCGAGCCCACAACCCAGGCATGGGCCCTTCAGAAATCGAACCCAGAACCCTTCAGTCCACAGACCGACACTCTATCCACTGAACCAAACTGGCTAGGGCACCCCCATTGATGTTTAGAGAGAGTGGAAGGGAGAGAGGGAAGGGGAGAGAGAGGAAGACGGGGAGAGAGAGGGAAACATCCATGTGAGAGGGATGCATCAATTGGTCGCCTCCCGCACCAGCCCCAATTAGGGTCTGGGATCAGAGCTGCCACCCAGGCACATGCCCTTATACTCTTTTATCCCTTTTTAAAACCTCACCCGGGATATTTTTCCCACTGATTTTTAGAGAGAGTGGAAGAGAGAGGGTAAGACAGAGAGAAACATCCATGTGAGAGAAATTCATCGATTGGTTACCTCCTGCACAAGCCCTGACCAGGGCCTGGGCCGGGGAGGAGCCTGCTACCAAGGTACGTGCCCTTGACCGGAATCAAACCTGGGACTCTTCTGTCCACAGGCCGATGCTCTATCCACTGAGCCCAAATGGCTAGGGCCATGCCCTTATACTCTTGACCAGGAATTGAACCCTTGATCCTTCAGTGAGTGGGACAACACTCTAACCACTCACTGAGACACACCAGTCAGGGCAGGTTTCTTCATTAAATATGCTAATAGGAGAGTCTTTGCCTTTTGGGGTCAGAGCCACCCTCTCACCCCACTATTTGCCATCTTGTTCAGGTGGCCAGTAAAGCACTTAGTTCGTCAGCACCCAAGCCCATCCCTACGCACCCCCCGCCCAGAGGATTACTCACCTTGTAGTTCCGTCCGCGTCCGATCGCACAGTTGGGTCTTGTCCATGCTGGCAAAGATGTGTTGAGCCTTATTCCAAGCGAGGTGACCGGGGAAGTACTCCGTCAAGAGATGGACCACCTCGCCCCATCTGGCTGTCCTCACCTGGTCCCAGGTGATCCGCGTGGAGCCCGCTTTGAGCTCCTCCAGCACTAAGAGCTGCTTGAACCTCTCCAGATCCTCCTGGCTTAAGTAGAGCATGTACAGCATGACCCCACTTTTGAAAGGGGAGGTGAAGGAGGGCGAGGATGGCAAGGATGAGGTAGACGAGGAGGAGGTGGTGGAGGAGGAGGAGGAGGAGGAGGACGAGGAGTCAGAATCCATCTTCACTCAAGTCTGAGAACCTCAGGCACCACCAATAAAAACGACCAATTAGAAGAGAGAAAGAGGGAGAGCAGACGAGACCTGTGGAGACATGAGATCATGAGGAAATGAATGGATGCCATCAAGACATCCACAAGCAAGTGTTGGCGAGGATGCAGAGAAGGGGGAACCCTACGTGCACTGGAGGCAGCCACTGTGGGAAACAGTGTGGCGTTTCCTCAAAAAAGTAAAAATGGAACTGCCATTCGACCCAGCGATTCCACTCCTGGGAATATATCCTAAGAATCCTGAAGCACCAATCAGAAAGAATGTACTAGTATGCACTCCTATGTGCATAGCAGCGTTATTTACAATAGCCAAGATCTGGAAACAGCCCAAGTGCCCATCAGTAGGTGAGTGGATAAAAAAGCTGTGGGGTGCCCTAACCGGTTTGGCTCAGTGGATAGAGCGTCAGCCTGTGGACTGAAGGGTCCCAGGTTTGATCCCGGTCAAGGGCATGTACCTTGGTTGCGGGCACATCCCCGGTAGGGGGTGTGCAGGAAGCAGCTGATCGATGTTTCTCTCTCATTGATGTTTCTGGCTCTCTATCCCTCTTCCTTCC